CTTTGGAATGCATTCATCATGAGCTTGGTTTGGAAACTGATCCTTTGGACAAACCACACAATTCTCCATGTCTGAAAAAAAGAAATACATTTCACTATTTTTAGTGCTGCCTTGTCTGGAGTCCTCCCATGGTAATAATTTCATCACAGAACCTCTGAAATTCTAGTACCCCAAACACATCAAAGTCTTTGACAGTGAGTGATCAAATCTTCCATTTTTAGAATGATTTGATCATGGCCTGTACTGAGAAAAAGTTCAAGTGGATTCACAATGCTTGAATGTTTCAAGAGCAAAAAAAAGGAGAACAGGGACTCTTGAAAACAGTCAGATTCACTTCATTTAGCCTAAGCTGTAACATCATAGATAGATGTTTATTTTTTAAAAAATATCTTTGCTAAGAATTATAAATGAGAAGAATAAAAGCAAATACAACTACAAAAAACTTCAAAGAATACAAACAGTAAAATACAAAATGAAAAAGAAAAAAGTGTGAAAAAGAAAAATGAACAAGAGAAAAAAGAAAAGAAAAGCTATGGTTTTTAATTATTATATCCCATCAGCAATTAGAGTAAGATTCCAATATGGGCCTAGAGTCATGGGTGATAGAGGCATCTTTTCTGCTGTGAGTCAAAGCTATGCTCCAGAACAACAGAGATATGCTTTAACATTATGCCTCTTACCCATTTGGCTTGATATCATCCTTTCTGGACATGGAGTGCAACCATAGCAGCAAAATTTCTCCCCTTCCTTCTTTGTCTTCCTGTATCCCAGAGGACAAGGGTCAGTGCATAAGGAAAGAGGTGGCAACTATCCAAAAAGACAGGAGGTCAGTAAAATATATATATTAGATCACTTGTCCTTAAACAGAGACCCTAATGACAGAATGCCAACATGATGCACCATGGATGGCCAGAGATAGCCCTACCATCAGGAAGAGTAGTGCTAATCCCTTGTGTTGGGGTCCCCTTGTAATTTGCTACATTTATGGAAAGTGAGGAGACTCTCCTTGTGTCAGCATGAAAAGAAACCTTAACTCTTGGGCCACTTAATTTTGTGGATGGAAATAGGGGAAGAGAACTCTTTACTGTTCAGCTGTAAGATCTCAAACATCTTGGCATATTTTGGGATCTCTGGCATAATATCTAGCCATGGCAAGGGGCGTACATGATTTTTGTCATTTAAACAATGTAATGATGAATATACCTGAGTAAATTCTGGTTGCCACTGAATTCTGTCCTCATGAATTGTGAAGGTTTTTCCTGGAGAAGTATGTGGGTGCACTTCTCCAACGTGGACCCTGATATAGGAGTTATTTGGGAAAGTGACCAAGTTCACAATGTCAAATCCAGCCTCTAGCTTTCCATGACCATTTAAAGTAATTTCATCTCCAGCACTGTTGTTGAAGGAAATTCTCTGCAGAAATGAGTGGATCTTCAAGAAGTGAAGAATAAGAGACAGGTTTGAAATATTCATCCTGTGTTCTTTCAATCAGTGTATGTGGATGGCTTTGGGTACTCTTCCCAGTGAGAAACCAGGGTTAAAGAATGGAACAACTTTAATTTTTCTTTTAAAATAGCATGGGTTTCTCTACAGAAAGTGATTAACTAAAGATGAGTATATCTGCTTTCTATGTGCATTCCTAGAACTCTTCCTGTGATCAGAACCTGTGCTTGACTTTCTAATTATGATGAAATTTCTATGAGGGTTTAGACCAATGCATGTGGATGTCTCTGTTGGACTTTTCCATGCCGCCTAGGGAAACTGAAATAGAATCTGCTCTCCCAGGACTAATACAGTATGATCAAATGCCTGCGATTTGTAAGGCTCAAATGAGATACGTACCAATTAACTTTGGGGAGTGCAGCAGTGGTGGGTAATGGGAAGGCCCCTCAGTTCTATTCTAACCGTGCAGGCCATTAAAAAGAAAATTAAGAGGAGGAGGTTTACCTGCCAAGGTTCCACTTTTTCTACTTTTCTGGCATAACTCTCCATTCCTCGGTGGGTGGCTGGAGGTGCGAGAGCTGCCTGCAAGCTGTGCGCCACAGCAGATACGGCATTATAGATGCTGTAGCTGTGGCCTGTCATGCTCATTTCAAAGAAAGGTGCAGGAAGAGTCTCCAGGGCTTCCTCTCCATGACATATGTCATTTGGACACTCAAAAGCTTGTTCCCAGAAGCTGGAAATAAAACCGTCTCTTTTCCTAGCAGAAAGGTTGATGTTCCGAAGAAAATTCTGAAATCCGGGGGACTCTTTTGTATGAAATGTGAAGGCAAGAGCACCATGAAATATTTGCATGGGAAATGACTTTTGTAGGATATGTAAAGTGAAGTCATTTTGGCCTGTTGTAATCCACACCTTTGCGGTTAACAGAGTCCCATTATAAAACAGACCAGTTAGAGGATAAACTCCTAGTAGTAATGCTGAAGCCAACCACATCACAGTTATGTTTTCGCCATATAAAATAATTGCATTGGCTTTTTTCTCTGTAAAAATGATGAGATGTCTCAGTGCTTCATGGATTATGACAGAAAAGCTACTTAAATGCATATTTTTTTCAAATCTTGCTGTGAATTCAGAGCAGATCTTATTTTTCAGAAGCAGGGGTTCCATGATTCGCAAAAAATGTTCTCCATCTAGGTTATTCACTGTGATGAGTCCTACCCATTTCCACCTGAAATGCAGAAGGAGTTGGATTAAACCCTCATACTGAAGAGCTTCATCGGGGACCATACGATAAAAGGAAGAAGAACGAGATTCAGTAGCAACTTCTAATTCAAAGAAACCATATGAAATCTAGAGGAAGAAAGCCGAACAAAATACCTAAACACTGAGAAACAAAAAAGCATGAAAGGAAAAATATATTTTTTTACAGAATTGTGTTATTTTAAAATGTTTCTTTTACCTCCAAATGTAACTGGAAGAAATATTTAAAATTTCTCGTATTTTGAAAATAATATCCCTTTTGTTTAGCATAAATTCTCTATACACTTAATCTTTAATTACTTATATATTTTGAATGTATATTATTGGGGACATCTCTAATAAATATTGTTACATAATTATTTTTAATCTTAGCTATTTGGAATACCTAAAACTCATTATGTGTTTGCTTGCAGAGGGAGGAATACTGTAGATTCATATATATCTCATGATCTCTAAACCATCAACTTATGAACATCAAAGGAAGAGAAGAAAGAGTTCTTTGTAATCTGTAATAATTCCCTGAGTGTAGAGGTTTAATTTCTACCTGAGGAATTTTGAAGAGCTGAAAAATTTCGGCCATGCGTGAAGAAGTGTCAGAACTCAGTCCTCCAATAATTCCCATGAGGTTTTTGGGGGTCCCACATATGTAGTTGGGGACAAACTTGTGCACTTTGAAGAGCAGGTCCAGACTGGTGCGATAGGTCATCTTGGAATCAGAGTAGCTGTCGTAGATGTGGAAGCCAAGGGTGACGTTAGGCAAGAGCTGGGGATCCTGATTGATCTCTTTGATGGCAAACTCCAGAGCCAAAATGTGTTGGTAGAACTTTGCCACCACACTGCAAAGCAAGTGATTTGGGTGATGAAAGAATAACTTGTATCTTTTTAAAATGCAAGTAAATAGTATGTAACAAAATGTAAAAAAATATTTAAGAGAAGGAGAAAGAGAAACAGTTGTCAGCTGGAGAGAAGGGAGAAGAGAATGAAAAGGAAAGGAAAAAGAGATTGAAGATTACATGAAATGAAGGAAAAGGAGACTTTGGAGCACTTCTGTCAATGAAACATTTCTCTTGTAAATTTTCTTGTGCCAACATGCTGGCTGGGGAATTCTGGGAGGTGAAGTCCCCACATC